CACAATGCAGATTTAACTCCCCGCAGAGGCCAATGAAAAACCGGTAATTTCAATTTCACAATAGCAACTTCTTCAATTTGACAAGAAATCAAATTCTGAAGTTGAATTAAATCAAACCAATTAAATATTTCTATGATAGAAAATTTGAAATACAATCTCATATTTCATCTTAACATTCAAAACGCTAATATTGACTTAAAAATAACACAACCCGTGCATTGCACGAGTAAAAACTAGTAGTTTTAAAAGAAAATGATTTTTGTCATTGGCGCCCCCCTATTGGCCGGGTGTCAGTACGATCAGACGCCCAGTCAATAGGTGGGCACCACATGCGTCCCCTGTTCGTCCATGGCCTATGTGGCCCTATCTCTCTAGCAAAAACCTTATTAAATAATGTGAGAGCATATAACAAACAAACTTTTAATTTTAAAGCATTTGTCTTCTTAGTACTTACTGTCTAATATTATATTATAAAGGATATAATTCGAAAACAATTAGGTATTGGTCCCTACCTCGATCTTGTCCGGTACTGCAATTCAGTTTAGCAAATCAAATATATAAATCCAGTTAGTAGTTGAATAAATATTTACAAGTTTAATTTTCAGTTAACTAGGAGAAAAGTCTTCTTTACTCAAGCAATAAAACCTTATAGCCGTTTGGAACTTTTGGTCAATTTTGTTGGTGGATATATTATTGTTAGCTAATCTTGAACAAGTTAGGCTTTGTCACACCCCATATAATGTATCTGCCATTTGAGATAGCACTAGAACCATTGACCTGACATGACGAAACAAGTTATTACGATCAAGTCAAAGTTGCTTCAAATCTCCCGTATCAATTAAATCTTATCGAAATTATGCTGCAACATCAATCGCTAAACCATCTACCAATAATAACCAAATTCACTATCCAATACAAAGATAATGAAATTAAGCTCATTATCCAATAAGTGTTTTGTGGATATTCAGATAATTTTAAGTTTATGATGTATGATAAATAAACGTCCACAAGCAAGCATTGTCGAGCAAATTAATCATAGTTGAACTTTGAATAATTTGATCTATCTAAACATGAAATGACCAAATACTTCTTTTTGATCGATTTGGAAACGCAATTGACCCTTTCCTCATCGAGAGAGTCATGAATCACAAAATGGTTTCAACGCTTTCTTTTCCCTTAGAAAGTGGGTGTCAACTAAGCCATGAACTATGAGGACATTGCTCCCATTAAATGGCCCTTAAAGAGCTCTCCCACTCCTGAGAATTGGTCCAATTCAACTCTCGAAGTGGTCTAAATTTCGTGGTCAACTTTTACCCATCTAGTTTTAAGAATTTTGGTAGGCATATATTTTTTTTTTTTTTCTGAAAAGGATTGATTAGGGATTTCAAATTTCCGATAGAACTAAACTCGTGTATTGTATATATTTTCAATAAAGAATTATGTGCTTTCATAAGCTTTGAAATCTTAATAATAAACTAGTTTCTCTTCTTAGAAAAAACATGTACATGACCCACATTGACATTTTGCGGGTTTTAGGCCAACTTTATATGGAGCATTCTGTAAATATATATGCAATTTGTGAGCTTATATATAAATATTAAAAGCATTAATATGATGAAGAGCTCTCACATTTGCGGACCTTAAGCAGTAGCGTATGCTACATATAATCGGGATCGACCCTAAAAACATACAAGATTTTTTCCAATTAAAAAGAAAATGTTGGCCTTTTTCTATCATGGGTGGAAAGCTTCATACCCTCTAACCATAAGGGAATTTCCTTTGCCATTCTCTCCCTTTTACCTCCTATCTCTTCCCCTTCATGTTACCATACCTCAAATGATACGGAAAAATAAATTAATTAAATTAAATTAA